CACACACACACACACACACACACACACACACCAAATCTCTTCTTTAAGTCTTTGGACAATTTTTCCCACTGAGTTTCCACTGACGAACATCGTGAAATGGGGACAAGGAGAAAAACGTTTTTGCGAAGCAATTTAAAGATGGTGACAAAAAGTATAAAAAAAACAAAATCTGTACCCAAGTCTACGAATATTTCTTCTGCTATAGTACTATAGTACTACTAAATTACTTGAACCTGTATAGGTCACTGCAGCCTAATCCACCTTTTGAAAGTACTGGCACTGATATTAGTATCAGTACAAAAGCCATGCAGCATACAGTGATTCTGAGGACGTGAGTGGACCAGTCTGAGGAGCTGCAGCTCAGCTTTACATCAGCAGACACGGGGCTCTGCGTGGGATTTGTTGCTGTAAGAGATTCCATCAGTGAATCCTGCTGCAGCAGAAACTTATTGTATGAAGTGATGAATCATACTTCTCCAACTGTCAGTCTGATGGATGAGTCTGATTTTGGCGAATGCCAGGAGAATATTACCTGACTGACTGGATTGTGACAAATGTAAATTTTAGTGGAGCAGGGTTGTTTTTCTGGGAGTGGTAGACGACACTGACCTCAGTTGGTTTCAGTTTAGTGAGACATTGTCGACTTAGAAGTCGTTAGAACATCACTTTTAATAACGCTGGTGAGTAACATCTGACCCTCGCCCTCCGGTTTTAGCACCACCTCTGCCCTCTGTGTGTTGACGTGGATGGAGGAGGTTTGGTGAAGTAGAAAGATTTTTTTTTTTCTGCTGAGACAAATTTTCATACCCTAGTGCAGAGTCTGGAGAGTCTATTTGAATAGAACAGCGCCACCTAATGAGTACGATACAAAACACAACTTTTTATTATACCAGTGTTAAAATATTTTAAAGGTATACTGTTAGAAATTAGTACAATTTCTGAAATAATTTCTTCTGTTAATTAATTTAATTCCTTTAATTTTGTTGGCATCGTTGATATTTTGAGTATTGTAATTGACAAGTTTTCTGTGGTTTGAGGCTGAGTTTGCACTTTGTGGATGTAGATTTGTTGTTTCTGGTTTTAACTCACAGTCCAAACACACACAGGCTAATGATTATGCTAACACTTTTGATCGTTGTCCCTGACCTCCATGACCCCTGGGCTTTGCTCCGACTCCGTGGCTCCTGTGGAGAATGACACACGACGATGTATTTTTTTAAAATGTCAGAGACCATTAGTATTATATTGTAATGGGCCGTTTTTTGTGGACCAGATCCTGGGGTCGTAGGGTAAAGTCTACTGCACTGGACCGCTGAGTTGCCACTAAATGACCCGACCACAGGCAGAAAGAGAACTCCATTTGGATATCGTTCTGTGTTGGTACAAACGATGGATGTGTTCACAGGTAAACAGTCCGGTCAGATCAGGCAGAGACCGGTTCAAACAGGCAGGAGAGGCTGAAATGTGATCAAAGATGCAATGACCTGTCAGTGAGTGGAGGCAGAGGAGAGCGTGTTTATCCAACCTCCAGACGTGACGGGGATACAGAGTGGCAGGAAATGAACCGGAACAGGAATATCAGATCTGTGAAATGAGAAAAGGAGGTGTGTTTCCAAAAAATTAAAATCCTCAGTGATGAATGGAGTTAGGAGCAAACTAAACATGACCCCATTATGTGACAGCTGTGACATTTCTGGTTAAACTAAAATTATGAGCCAGGCGTCTCCTCCAGCATCTGAGGCAGAGTGATGCTCCTCTGCAGGGATTCCCACAGACACATACAAAAACCCTGTCAGCTGCGTTTCAAGAAAAGTGGGAGCTGTCGTCTCTGCTGCCTGCTGTAGTGTTGGTCAAATTGTTAAAAAAAAATTGTCAGAATGTTTTTGCGGTGTTGGTAAAAACAAAGCCAGGAGAGATGGAGGGAGAACAGAGAGTGTGGGCGGAGTTAATGAGATGACACTGGATTATGATCCAACTTGTCGTACAACCACGGGTACAGTGTGTGTTCCCTGTTCCTAATTAATACAACAAAGGAATTATCAAGATAATATTATAATCTTAGGTATTTGTTCTTTGATTTTTTTTTTTCTATTTTTTTAACATTCGTGTATTTACTGTCAGAAGAAACACAAGATGAGGCAGCCATGAACTGTCAATGAAGAATTTTTATTTTTCTTGTTCTGTTACCTGTTACACTGTGACCATTACATGTTTCACTTGGCAGTAGATCAAAACTGTGGGAGTTGTGTGTGAGGCCACTGGTTTGTTATTGTTGGTAACACTGACAGTAGTAATTGACTTTAACTTTCTGTGTGTAAAGAATGCTGATAATAGATATAAAACAGAACCATCAGGAAATGGGAAAGCTGCTTCTCACAGAGCATCATGGTGTACGTCATAAATCTCCAGGTTCCTTCACGTCTACATATTAGAACATATTACTGGAGGCCTGTTTACAAGTGGATTTAAAAGATCAATTTAAAATTTGGTTGAGATGACGGGGTTAGAGGAGCAAAAAATTGAAAATTGGAGATTAAGATTAGATAAATGGATGGATGGATGGATAGACAAACAGTTAAATAGATAGATGGATGGATAGAGAGAGAGAGAGAGGCTCTGGAACACACCCTTAAAGAAAGGATGGCGGGCAGAGGGGGAGGGGGAGGGAGGCGTTGCAGGAGGAGGACGATGTTCATCCTGGCTGTCACAGAGCTTGGCAGTGTTGCTCAGTTACAGACAGAGGCTGTGCACCCATAATTCAGTCTGATTTAGGGCTGCGATTGAACGCTCAGGGATAATAAGCAGTATAATTTTCAGCAGGCCGTGAGCCGACTGCATAATTGGGACTTGATTGTTTGCGACACATTGCGGCCTCTCCTTCAGCTCTGTGTCTTCTGTGTCCACTCTGCTCCTCGACGAAACCTGAAACTCGGCTCAGTTCAGTCCATAGACAAACACCAATTCAATGGCTGATGATGATTGACATCATATTTTATTAAAATATGATTAAAAAATCTAAACAGTTAAAATGTTTTTGTCCTCAAAATTGACTCATAATTGGCTTTGTTTTCTTGTTGATGCTTAAATGTGTTTGTTTTTTCCAACCAGTGCCACATGTTGGTTATTTATTTTATTCTTTTTTAAAATAACCAATCAGTGATTTGGGATTTAATGCATCAAATAAAAAAAAAAAAAAAAAAGTTTCTTCAATACCAATTAAATATATTTACAGCAGTGGTGAGAAGTACTCCACTAAAAAACTCACTTTCAAGTGCTCATTTATTAGGAAATATATGGCCTGACTTTTCTATTGACATTTGGATTCCCACTGCCTCCTCTGCAGCAACGACAGAGTGTCAAGTCATTTGTGTATTTTCCATTTTGTCAAAGCAGAATCTAAACTGCCCTTTATGTCTGTGAATTACAGGAATCATCATGAGCTTGTCGGTATCATTTAAGTTTAAATAACACTTCTGGTCTAGTACGTTTTACCTTATAGTCCCTAATAATTGTTCACTTTTTTTTCTCTAAACAAAGTCAAAGAGACTTTGTTTAAAGGTCACAGTGGCATGAATGATTTAAAGGTTTATGATTCAGGATTCTATTAAGCAGCGTTTTATGTCTCTCACTGTCGCTTTGTGTCATTGGCTAAAAAATAAAGTCCACTTTGTTCTGCCTGTGTGAAATCAAGGACACAAAATGACTCAGGAGTCGCTGCAGTTATTCCGTCCCTGATATCACTGTAAACCATAACGCAGGTGAAAGGGAGAGGCTTGGCAGACGGAGTAAATCACCATGTTGGGTGAGGTTTCACTCACTCTGAGGCGACTTGGGACGATTTCACACCTCGCTCCGTAAATTGACGCAGATTTACTGGATATTTAAGAAAGTTCTTTAACAAGTTCCACTCCAGCCACAGCCAGTTCTAAATCAATGTCTAATATAAGATTTTCTCCTCTGTCCTTGGGTTTATATGACCTGCTACGGTTGTGCTGCAAACATAATGAAATTTGATGTTGTTTAGCCTGGCAGTAACAAAGACCGTTTTCCAGAGAAAACTTTGCAAAATTGCAATAAAAATACATTTTTAACGCACTCCAGCCTGAGGACAGAGGGTCGACTCCTCCTCTGTTCACTGTCACATTAACACCGGCTTGACAACAGTAACACCATCCATTATACACAAGGGGGAGCAGTCACATGCCCCTTAGATTGAATTCAAACTTTTAAGATTATTTTTATTCTAATTTTCGGAACAGGTCATGAGTCCATGATGGACCCCCTCGTCTTCATCTCTTTCTTCTTTACGCAGCCACCAAGTTCATGAATAAGTGATGTTACTGAGCACAACATGTACTTTTATTCTCTCGCCTTCGCACTTTAATAAGAATGTTTTGTTTTTTTTTAGCAAAATTTAACTCAAGTTTCGATCAGTCTGACCACAGGACATGTCTCTACTGTTTCTGTTGGAACTTTAGTCCAGTTTGTTGTCTCACTGAGGTCATGTCCTTTGGCTGAAATTCATCACTGTAGTCCAGCCATGTTTTTGTTTTTGTTTTTCACAGTAAATGCCAGACCTAAATAAACAGTGTTGATCCACTACACGTCCTTGTTTGCAACGATGGAGCTTGTGGTGATTTCTCACCTTTTGTACTCAAACCTGGGATCATTACTTGAAGCTAGTTAACCTGCTAAATGTTGCCGTATTTTGACAATCCCCCAATTTTTTAAGATTTTTGTTTTTTAATTTTGAAATTGCTTCTGGTAGGTTAAGTTGATAAAACAACAAATACAACATCAAAATACAATTTGTTTTTATCACTGACGACCCCTTCGGATAGGAGTCAGATATATATATATATATATATATATATAGATACAGTATATATATTTATATACAGTATATATGTATATGTGTATATATATTTATATATATATAATACATATATGTATGAATATATATATATGTAAAATGTATATAGGCTTTCAATGGAATAATTCTGTTCCAATGAATTATTCATTCACCCAGAAGTAATCCATTGGCTCATTCTTGAAATCCCCCTTTCATCCGATAAACTTTGTCATGGCCCGACTAACAGCACTCGCCTCGGTAATTGCTGCTTGTTCAAGGATGGGACAAAGCAATAAACTTGTCAGCACATATTACAATGTGGCAGAGATGAAGAGGAAGCAGCACTCTCCGCCCTCTCATCTTTATGGCATCTATCTGCTGCATCACATGTCCCCAGCCAGACAACTCATTTCATCTCTGCATTAATTCTGAATAGAGACGGAGACACTGTGTCCACAGCGTGGGTTGGTAAAAACAGCACCCCGGTGTCGGCCTCATTATACAAACACGTCTGAACCCTGTACCTGGTTGTCATCGTCTGACTCTGAAATCCTGTCAACAGCACAGTTCAATGTGCAGCATTTGTTCTCAGGTAATTTCCATACGAGCAATAATACAGTTGTCCAACAGGTGGAAATTGGCAGATATTTATTAACCTGCTGTTTTATTTACCTCCCCACTCATCCAGTTGTGTTCCCTCAGGCAGAGTAGCTCAGTGAACTGATGTCTAAACATTTTTTGAAATATTTTTTTTTTCCAAGACGACGGTGGTTTTACCCCTGTTGTGTGTTGTGTTGCGTGTGAACGGAGTTGATGATGACATAAATAGACCTGGATCACCCAAGGATAAAAACAAACAGACTTCGATTTCCAGGAGGTAAAAACACTCACAGCAGCTTCACTGTTAAATCTTTATGAAAGGAAACTCACCCTGACCGTCTGGAACTAGTCCTTAATACTTTCAGTCATTCAGTAACTTGGTCCTACAATTTACTAACTGTTGTATTCGCCAGAAAATTAACTATTTGATAAACTTTTGTTTGACAAGAATATAGATATATATTTCTGCTCGTATTTATGTGTTCAATTTATTTGCTGCAGTATATTTACAGTTTTGTATTTTGACTGAATCTGTGTTATTGTGATTTTTTTTTCTCTACCATTGTGTAGTCTAGTGTTTCCAAAACTTTTTTTTTTCTGGGGACCCATATTTTAAAAGTCACAAACCTTCGCGACCCAAGTCAATAGACATTATTCGTAAATTCCCAGGAAACATGATACAAGACGACCCCCCCCCCCCCCCCCCCAAAACAAACTCTTGCGACTCACCTGAGGGTCGCGACCCAGTCTTTGGGAAACAATGTTGTAGCTATGACATGTGCTGCGGCCCCGTCATCCTTCTATAATACTCATTATTAACCATAAACATGCCTGTTGTGCTTTGCCATTTACAAAAATGAGCCCTAGCGTGAAAACAATGTTACATCTGATTGGAAGCGAACTGTGAATCCAGGCTGCGACCTGACTGTTTCATAGATGGCTCCGTCTGCCGTCAATTAACACCGTATCAGCAGCAGCCGCTGAGAATTCATTATGGAGCCCCCCCCGTCCCCCGTCCCCCTCGTACCACACTGCTGATTGATACCAAAGGGACGGCCCCACAAGGAAGAATCAATTTGAAGGCATGCGGGCGCTCGTGGAGTTATCAGCCTGAGAGTGAATGATGTTGGGCTGACTATCAATACAGCCTGTCATTGGTTGAACGAGGCGGTGGAGGCGACCGCTCCATTTAAGGGTTCGTACATTAGAACAGGCAGAATTCACTGATAATGGAGTGACCCAACATCTGTATGTGGGATACAGTCCACTCTTTCTGTCGTGGATAATTAAATCCTGTATTATGTTATATGCATGGGTATTGCCTAATATGCTGGACTCACTAATACTGCATATATCAGTATCGGTTGAAGTCGCAATCTGAAATTAATTGCTAGGACAATATCAGTGTATCAGATATTAGCAAAAAGTTATTATCAGACATCCCTATTTATAATATATATTATTTAAGGAACACATTTTTTACATTTTATTCCAAACATGATCATGGAGTAAATTGATGAAAATCCCATTTAGATGAACAGCCTTTTGTCAAGGCAGACCTGGCCAAGACATTTAGATGAACAGCCTTTTGTCAAGGGAGACCTGGGCAGCAGCAAATACAAAACACAGTGACAAGTTTCAAAGGTAAAACATTGAAAATGAATTCAAATCAGCAAGTCTGAAGATTAAAAAAGAAGCTCTCATGATTTGAACAAGTCTGAAGATTAAAAAAGAAGCTCTAAAGATCTGGGAAAAAAAACCCCAAACAATCCGAACAGCATTAAAATATCTTTTCATACAAGTACAACATTTTTTACACTTTAATCTTAAGTCTTAAAAATTACTATGAAAAATAATTAGTTATCATAAATGTGTCCTTACATGAAATCACACTTTTTAATTGACTCTGTTCCAAACTTTTTACGCAAATTCATTCAATGATTAACCCAAATGTAGTTTATTAAAAATGAGGCATTCAGGGAACAGAGAGGAACTGTGTATTATTGGTGAGATCAGAGTCAAACAGATGGATTTATTTCTGTGACTGCGATTCTCAGAATCACGACATGTTATTAATAAATGAGTTACACGGTGACATTTTCTTTTCACTTCTCCGTGTTCACACTCTTAGTAAAACTTCACTCTACACCAGACTTTTTAGTGATGACCTACTTTTGTCTTTCCCTGGACTTAACTAAAGAACCGAATACTTCTGTTCTGTAACAGAAATGTGTCCGTTTGTTCTCCTGCAGTGTCTTGTCACCAGGAGGAATCTACACCGAGGTTCATTCACCGTCCTCAGTAGCTGCATTGTTCCAGCCTTTATACGTTGAAGATCAATACTCACTGAACCATACTGATAAATAATGCAGCGCCTATTACTGTCTGCTGATGTCAATAGTCCTAAGATGATTCTTATTACTATTTGTTTATTGTTTAGTGAGAAGCCGTGGCCTGAACACTGTGACAGCAACAATATGGAAAATATACAATAAACATGATAATAAGTCTATTGTTGACTATAACAGGAAGTCAAAACAGTAGTAAACAGAATAAAAAAATAATAATTACAGAATATTGTATCTGCTACTGAAAACATATAGACTCGTGAGAGCGGCGGAATATAAATAAAAGGGAAATTGGTTTGTTTGTGAGACGACCAAGAACAAAAAAAAACAAAACAAAAAAACAATAAAAATAACAGTTGTTAAATTCACAGACACAGACTTAATTTATTTACTGGTTATCAACTCTGGAGAAAAAAAAAATAACAAAAACTACATTGACTTGTTTCTTAAAAAAGAGGGGAAAAAAAGGCAAAAAAATAAAAAAATCCCCCCTAGTTTTATAACCTTGGAGAAGTGAACCTGCTCACTGCAGCTGCCTTTGTTCTACGGCCATAACAACTCTGAAACACTTTGTGCACGTCTGCACCAACATACTGTAAATTACAGAGGGGTTTTTTTTGTGGGGGGGGGGGCAAACACAGTGTCAGGAGGAAACTGTGTTCTGCTGAATGGTAACTTCATCCTCCATCCTGTCTTTCCCTGGAGGAAGAGGACCAGCACAAAAAACCCCATGAGGCCTTAATGAGAACAGCCACACATACTGTACTGTACGAGGCTCCGTGAAGAGCGATTTTTACTGTGTAATTGTGACACAATGTTAGGCATTTTAACAAGCGTCCTGCCATTCATCTGGTGTGTCGGGTCTTTTAATGGTAATTAGTGCTGAGAAATGTCTGGTATTATCTGTGTATTTTGTCCGTTTGCCCAGCGTTATCTGACGTTCTGTCTCGTCCTCTGCTCGTTTTTTGACCCGCTCATCATTCCCAGTGTCTCGTCCTCTGCTCGTTTTTTGACCCACCCGTCATTCCAGTGCCTCGTCCTCTGCTCGTTTTTTGACCCACTCGTCATTCCAGTGCTGCTGCTGCTGCTGCTGATGGTTCAGGGGCGGGGAACATACATCATCCGAAGGCCACTGAGTCTCATTCTCTCTCCACTTACAAAGCAAAAGTCACAGGCGGTGCTTGTTGGAGGTTTGCTGTATGGATGTCTTTTGTACCTGCATTATAAAACAACTTCTCCAGCTCCACCACCCGCTCCTTCTGCCTCTTCCTCCCTTCCTCTCCCTCTTAGGGATCGGAAAAGGCAGCAAAGATTGATGTGGAGTGCGGCTGCAGGACTGATTCGCGGCCCTTTTACTCGGCAAATGGATGGATGCAGCGTTGCCCGTAGTCATTTACTATCAGGCGGCCTATTGTTCACTGTATCGCATGTAATCGATCACTTGTATGTGTAAAGTGCAGGATCAGATCTTTGAGAAAAAGAAGGAATGTTTCCATTCGGCGGTAACGACTATTAGTTGTAATGAGAAACCCAGAAGGTTTGATTTTTTTTTTTGTGCTGTAAGAAGGTGGTAATAGGTACACGGACATAATGTACACATTTGTAATGCTGACCTCTGCTGGTTTTACTTCAACCTCAGACAGGTAGAATGGTTCCTTTCACTGTGTAGGACATGAGATGGAGTTAGTTAACCTGATCTGGTAACCGTTTTCTGTGCGCCTTATGTTCATTGGGTTCATCGCGACTCCTTTTTTTCAAATTCCTTTGCTTAGCATTTTGGTAAAGAATATATCTTTGTTCCCAGACTGTTAGAAAGCAATAAAGATCCTCTTTAGAGTTGCTTTTAAATGCATTAACACGTTGACAATATGGCAAAATGAACCTTTAATTCACGGTAAGGGAGAGAGAGGCAGGGAACGTAGTTGTTGTTTATGATTTGATTTTCCATAATTCCGAGCTACACCATATTCCATGGCCTGTGGCTCTGGAGCAGCTGACGCTGTCCGAGAGAAAAACCAATAATGGCGAGCTTTATGTTCTGTGAAATTAAATTCAACTCATAGCCACATCTTTTTTGTTGGTTTGTTTCACCGCCCTCTGCTCTTCTCTGCTGCAGTACACACATCAACATTTTGGATTCCTTTATCTGCCGATGCATTTGTTTTGACGATACAGTCAGAGATACTGGGGGACCAGGGGGCAGCAGTTGTTGTTGTTATGCTTGTGCAGAAGGTTGTTGATTTATCAGTGTTGTTGTAGAAATACCAGTTGTGGGACATAGTCGCTGTGACCCTGCCGTTGTTAGCTTCAGAAGAAACGAATCAGATGTTTGTCTCCGTGGTCTATTAAAGGCTCCCTCTGTCTCTGCTCATCAAACACTGGTCGTTTCTCTGAACCTGTTTCTGTTTGTGGAGACAAAATACTTTTTTTTTTTAAAAAAAAGGTACAAACTTTTTTCTGTCTTCTGTCCCTGTTGTGGTTAATAAAGTCTATGCTAACGTCTCCTCAGGAGTCAGCGATAACAAAGAAGTAGAGACTGTATTTGACACAGATATCAATATGGTGTGTTTACTGTAGTATTGATCATAATAATAGTATGTTTATTATGATCAATGATGATGAACTCTTTTTCTCTGAGTTAAGTTTTCTCTGATGTATTGTAACAAAAGTTTCATATTATAACCTGGATTTTATACAGAGTTTTAAGCTGCACCAGTGAGTGTTTGATTTTGGAGCTTGGTTTGTAGTTTATGATTAGGAAGTAGAATCCCAGGGTTGGGGTAAAGTGTGTGTAGAAAATATGCCAACAGGAAGTGTGAGTCTCCAGTAAGACTGATTGAGGAAAAGTATTCTCCCAGACTGAAAACTAGACCAAAGAGTAACTTAGCAAACTCTGCGCCGCCTCTCCATCGTTCCTCTTCCTCCTTCT